CATGAAATCTGAAACAAACTGATTAGTCTGTTTGTGTTGCCGATTATTCTCCTGGAAGTTCGCAACAAACAAACGGCTTTGCTGTAGTTGTGGAAATAACCACTCAACTTTATCCAGAGAGATTTACTCCAACTGCTTCCAACTAATGAAATTCTTGTCAACATGGATGACACGTGGCACCATTCTATTTTTTTGCAAAAATGGGTGTAAACAATGCCCCCCAAAACTTGGTTGCACGACTTCATGGAAGTGGAATCAAGTTTTTTTTTGAAAATTTTGTTCCTAGCACTCCTCACCATGTGGCCATTGTAAACAAAGCATGATGTCTCCATGAATGTAGAAATTTAAGATTGTTGTTTTCTTCAGCATAACATGGAATATCATCTAATAAACACAGTGGCTTCATAGAGAAATAAGCCAACTAAAAGTGTGTCTATAAAAATGGGAAATAATAGCCTCCAAAAAGAACAATTCCATGAGTTTCCTCTGTCGGCTAACATGGAGACATAGATCAAGCACACCTCCATAGAAAGCATAGTGTCTTAAAAGCAATGCCATCTCACGACCTTCCTTAAAGCCGCTCAATTGCAAGATTATTCACACTAATTGTAGAAAATTGAAAACAAAAACTAAATTAAAGCTGATCTCCACCCAAACCTGACTTCAGCAGAGAGATTATTTCCACTTCGATCTACTGCATGACTTACAGACCGAAGGGCAACATGGCTGAAAAGGTAAGCTATTTATTTTTGTGAGGTGCAGACTACCATCAAGGTTTCGTAGCCAGTATGTTCCTTCATCTAATGCCTTGTGCATTTGTAAAGATTTCATATTGTTGGCAGAATGTCTCTTGGGTGACATGCTTTTAACTGACGGCAACATGCCTCCTCTTGGAACAAAGGTTGCAGCATCCTTTTTATGATCCCTCCCTTTGTTTTCTTTGGTAGACATGTTTGCTTTGTTCTTTGTTGTGTCTTTGCTACTAGAGGCTGCATCTTGCTTCCTTGTGAAAACAAAAGGGAGATTTGGAATGGAACTTGGAAGTTCAATAATAAACTCACCAAGGCTAATTGTTTTGCTGCTGGCATTAAGCTCTTTCGTTGCCTTTGAGTCATTTGACTTGAAAGGAACATGCTTGGCAAACGTCTTTGGAGACACGATTGCATTGACTAAATTTTGATTTGCCTCTTGAGAAGCTGCATTGTGTTTCTTCTTCTCCACCCAGATAAACCTTTGCTTCCTTGGAGGTTGTTGCCTTTGCGAAGCATGCACCTCAGCAACATGTCTCCGATGCTCTTTAGCTCTTTTCTTTTGAAGCCGCCTTCGAAGAGTCCTAGGATTTTGGGTAAGGAACTCTGGGCAGGCCACCAAGTTTATATGGCGACAATGTCTAAATTGACTTTGTTTATAGAGGTAGCATTTGCACATGCCTCCATGCTTTTCTACGAGATCATGCCCCCCGTGCCTCCACTCAGAGACATGGGTTTGTTGCTCTTGTTCCTTCATTGGTGTCCAATAGAGGTCTTTAGATTTCATCTTCCTTCTTCCACTTGGCAGATGCGAAGGCATGGTGTTTCTTATGCCACCTCCAATGTTATCCTTGTGGCTGCAAGGAAAATCTGAAAATTTCTTGTGAAAGTCACTTTGGAAAGAATCATTATTTTTTTTAATATGGCCTACGGCATGTTGGACAACATGGTGGCCTACATGCCACCTAAGTGGCCTTAGGCAATGAGTCTGCAAACTGTTGAGGTGGACTAAGCTTGCACACATGCTTTTGCTGTGGTGGCATTGATTGGATGCTTGAATTGGCATCAGGCTGCAATGGCACAAACCTTGCTACCTCTTTTTCTATAGCTTTGTGAGCTTCATTGGCAATAAGGTCTTGCAACCTTTGTTGTTCAATCTGACTAGGTTGCCCCCCGAGATTGGAAATGACTCCCCTCTTCAGACTAACAACTTTAAAAGGATATTTCACCTTCAGCCATTGTCCATAATTGAACTTGGAAGGGCTTCGACCATTAAGAAAGCATAGTCGCCGCGAACACTTCTTAAGCAAGGCTGAAGAAATATGCTCATTAGTCTCAAAAGAAGTTGAAATAGATGAGGTAGATACCTTATCAGATTTATGTCCTAATGCTGGCCAAAGTGTTGGCTTTTTGTGTAGCAGCATCAACTTTTTGTCGGCCATCAGATGGACCTTCATTGATCGATGGCTGACATGTCTGCACCTGAGTTGGTTTATGCCTCCTAGGAGTAAGAGGACTATTGCTAGTATTAGTCTTTGTAGACTTAGAATGACTTGGAGGCATACTTGTTGAAGTCGCCTCCGAAGCTGCATGGCGTTGCTGACTTTGGACAACATGCTGCAATTGTAATTCATGCCCCCCAACTGTGATCATGGGGTTACTCTTTGACCTTAGTGTCGTCTGACCTTCATTTACAGTTGGCATCTCTGTCACGTTTTGCGATTTGCAAAACTGCTTCAAAGTTCCTGGAGATGCGACTGCATGGCACTTCTTTGAATCCTCCATTAAAACCTCACTTTTGGGTTGAGGGGTTTTAAGTTATGGAAGATTTAATTTGCATACTTTCAAATTTTCCTCCAACCTCCTTATGCGTTCCTCATGAAGCCTATTAGATTCCTCAGCAAAATCAACTATCCTTTCAGCAAGTGATTTGAAAGACTCACTGCCAGCTGTTGCCTTCTCATCATAAAGTGGATTGACATAAGAGGAAACTTGTGGTGAAGTGATGAAGAGCTTCTGGAAATCATCAAAATAAGGACTTGCCATGGTGGCACAATCTAGTAATAGAGAATATGATCAACAAACTTGTGAAAGCCCAGTGTGTCCCACCAGGCGTGCCAAAAAGAGATTGTTGTCTCCAAAATCTCCCTTTCTGGCCGCGTGGCAGATAAGACTGTGAAGGCGTGCCACTCACTTTGCTCAAAGTGAGAAAGAGGGATTCCCGGTGACCCTCACTACTTCCAAGCGTGGAACTCGGTTACGAGTCGATGGAAGAGCACCGGTTAAATAAATTATGA